AAAGGAAAGGAGAACCTAAACCGATTCTAATATAAATGAAAAAAGATGAAACAAGCAGAAAAAAGAAAAAATTAAGCTATCCAAATACACTATTATAACCCGTGCCAGGTGATTTAAAAATTACAGTCAGACTCCCCTAAATGCACATCGCCGGGACCAGCTCTGAAGCATGCATTTAGAGGGGTTGCAATTATAGAATATCCATAATCACATGAATGCCTATTAGCTATATAAGTATAACTGTATTATACTCTAACAAATACAAATTTCGATTCAACGACAAGCTATATTATTTACTTATTTGTTATTCAAGATGCTTTCGCACACTATACAATTTAGTAATTCTTTGAATACGAAACGAGATCATAGTTGCAAAAAAAAAATAAAAAAAAATTTTTTACTAATATAAATGTGATCAATCCTTTATTTAAAATATAAGTAGATCATTCAATTTAACTCTTTTATTTGTTTCCACCAATATCTTTAGCAAAAATAATAGCAGAGGCCTTTCGCTTGAAATTTCCATGAGGATTACTCCAAAGCTATAAATATCTGATCTCTTCTCACGTCTATATCCTTTTTTAATAAGACACTAAGGTTTAATAAATGCTGCCATTCCAAAGGTGGTTGAAGTCTTAGATCAGTTCAAGGTTAATTTCAAAAAAAATATTCCGTTAAAGCATTTGAGAGTGATTTGATTGTTAAGTTATGTGTTATTTATTTACATTTTAAAAGTTTTAAATATCCAACACTTACTCATATAGCTTAGTTTTTTTTATAGAGTTAATCAGCAAGCTCAAAAAACGCTTCAAGATTTAATTGCTTGAAAGATGTATTTCATAATTTTCTAATCGTTTTTTGCAAGTTCGATAAAGCTTCATCATGTTTTGACCGGGTTGTATCACAAAGATCCTGTTGCAGAAGGTATTGTTCTAGCAAATATGTAGCATTCAGTGCTTCATTATGAGTAACTTGGCGCATTTCTGTGCTATCATCATCTTCATCACTTATATCCTCTTCAGGTTCTAGGTTAATAGCTAGATTCACTATTTCATGATCGCTTAATACTTCATGTATTTCCTTTTCTTCTGGATGGTCAATATATTCTTCAAGATTCATCACATTTCGAAAATGGAGCGCTTCGATATTTTCACGTAATTCTTTCATTAACTCGGCATCATCATCATTGTCAAGCACCTCATTATCGTCAATCGCCTCATCATTATCCGAATCAACTGGAAGGATTCCTATATATACAGTAGGGTTATAAAATTACTAGAATTTTCATAATTTTATATAATTTTACAATAAGTTTTAATAAATTAGATCTCATGTAATTTCAGTACTTTATATAACATAATGAAAATTACATGAAATCCGATTTACTGAAGTTTATGTAAAATTACATGTATTGTAAGATAATAATTTTTGTAACACAACTTAACCAGTATGTCGAAAGCAATTAAACACCGTTTCTGATGATACTTCCTTCCATGCTTTGACTATAAACTTAATAGCTTTAAGAACATCTAATTTTTTATCACTTCCAGATTCATATATATCAAGCAACCATTTAATGAAGTAACTTTTGTAGCGACGCTTGAAAGACATAATAATACCAGCATCTAGAGGCTGAATACGAGATGTTGTGTTGGGTGAAATAAAATGAACAGTTGTGTTTCGAAGATTTAAATTTTTATAAGAATGATATTTTGCGCCGTCTATCAAAAGAAGCATCTTGCGACTAGTCATCTTTAAATCAAATTCTTTAAGCCAATTTTGAAATAATACAGTCGTCATTCATGCATTGGCACTACTATCATATGTGACACCAAGTAAGTTGCGTTTGATACCTTTGAAACAGCGTGGGTTGGGATACTTTCCAATTACAAATGGCTTAAGTTTATCTGTTCCATCAGTGTTAATACAAAATGCTACAGTTAATCATTCTTTGTTTTTTTTTCTACCTTTGAGACTAGTTGTTGCCAATGTTGTATCAGGTTCAAGCCTAAAAGAAGAATAAAAAGAAAAAAAAATTTAATAATTTAAGTATTGAAATTTTAAAATTAACTATTTATAATGATTTTAATAAAAGAGCGCAACTTGCGCCCCTAATTGCGACCACAGTAGAGATATATAAAAAAAAAAAATAAATAAAAATTTTAAAATTATTTAGTTTTACCGATAAAACAATCTCATTTCGTCTATATTGTAAACATCTTTTAACTTAAATTTAGCTAATAATTCTCTTAATTTAGAAATCGCAGTTGCAACGACATCATCATCTACGGATGCATCTTCACCATGTTGTGTTATTTGGCTTATGCCGTGTCGTTTTTTAAATTTATATAACCAACCATGTGAGAATTTAAGGCTGTTATCAGGTATATTTAACAATTTAGCAAAAGATTTTGCTTTTTCGATTAGAATGGCATCACTTAATATGATTCGGTCTTGGCTTTGAAGGATCCACTCGAGTAATGAATTTTCAAGGTCTGGATGCTGTACTGTCTTCTGCCTTTTTGCAGATAGATTATCCCCAATATTATCTTTATTTTTTATTAGACGCCCAATGGTAGAGGGATGAACTTCAAGACCCATATTTTTTTTCACCCAATCGACGAGATCAACATTACTAATACTTGGGTGTTTTTCTTTAAATTCAATAATTTCTTTTCTTTGTTGTAGTCTTTTTTTTACGCTTTGAAGAAGACATGTCATGCCTTACAATTTACAGATCAAGTATATAAGAATTATTTAAAAAAATTTATACGAGAAAGAACTTGTTTTAATTGCAGAGCTTTATTTAACTCAATCGCAACAATGCCCTATTATATTTGTTGTATGATCACATTTGGGAGTATCTTGGTGTGTGAATCATTTATACTTTTTGTATTGTTTTACATGTCATTAAAAAAAAATTATGTAGGCGAAATACTTATATACTGCTAAATTTTATTTGAAATACTTAAACATGAGGCAGAGTTGTAAATGGAAAACCTCAATGGAATTCAATTGATGCTTATCCATTGAGTTTCACTATTAACTTATGCATATTTTTTTTTTTTATATCTTAGGTCAGGAGCAAATTCTGCTACCATGGCACTCGAAACACTAATCAGGTAGCAATGATTATATAAGCAATCGCTTATTCAAATTGATTTGGGTCTGCGAGTATAAGCCATTTACTATTTGAAGTATCTTAAGAACTAACTTTATTGGGAAACAATAGTTATCTTGAAGACTACTTGGGAAATAATGGTTAACGCCAATTAAGATAAGTATTGTTTAAGTTCTATCAGTAATTTAAATGCTTTATCAATAAGACTATCTATGTTATGCTAAACAATAATCTGCTCTTAATTATTGTATGGAAGAGCAAGGGTAATGCTTGAAAGTTGTCGGGGTAACCAAAGTCGAATGACTGTACTTTAGATATGCCACATCTGTGTGTTTACTGTGCTTGAAAGACGGAAAGAGAAAACCTGTAAACTGATTCACTATTCATTTTATTGAACTCAATGATGGTTAGCTTTTAAAAAAATTTTTTTTTGTTTAATTAATCTATTTGATGCAAAGTAACATTGTTTTTACAGAGAGCAAATTTGGTAAAATAGAAAATAGCGAATCAATTTAAGGTTTCTTTTTCTGTCACTTATTTATACAATCTACTATAACTGTAGAATAAAATCTTTTTGCAGATAATAAAAAAAAATTTTTTTAGATTTTAACATGGTGCAACGGAATTACAAATCTGAAGCGAAGTGTATATGTAATAATAGGTTTTTAAATAAATTTAATATTTTATGTCAAATGTTATGGATTTTTTATGATCCTTCTTATTTATGTATTAATGTTAAAGATCAAACAATTCTAAAATAAACTAACAAATATTAATAGCAGAGTTTATTAAAATAATTGTTTATATGAAAAGAAACTTCTACTTTATTCATTTTACATGAAGAAACAGTAAACACTGCATTTAAAAGATTGGCCAAGTATGGTATCGCAGTATTTATGCAGGGAACCTGTGTACGTATTATGCGTAGATGATATTCCGACCGCATGCATTTAATAATCTAAAAATCCTAAAGTTTCATTGGTTAATAATCATGTGCATGCATTTATGGAGGGAGCTTATTATATCTGGGCCGAAAAAGTATCGTGCAATTGCAGAAAAAAGAACGTGCATTTATTTATAGGTCCCATTGCGGGCCTAGCTTGTTACCATGCATTTAGGGAGGTGCTGCATTTAGGGGGGTTGCATTTAGGGGGTCTGACTGTATATAAGATAATATAAGTAATTATAACATAGTAAACTAATAAATGACACAGCAGAATATATATAGGAATGTTAAAAGTTCAGTCCGGTCTGAATCGACTTCAAAAGTCGAGTCTTTATTAAAGTTCAGGCTTGGTACTTACTTGCATTTACTTGCATAAATACAAAAAAAAAAGTATATTTATGATATTTTGCATGTGTATACATTTGTTTTAATGCTATATTTAATATACATGCATGCAAGTCGAGTTCCTAGTCAGACTTGGGACCAATTTTAACAAAGGCTCGACTTTTTTAAAAACTCGTGTAACTGATGGTATTAATACAACTAACTCGTTATAAAAGAGTTTGTACAGTTATTGTAGGCATTGTCCAAAAAAATGTTTGGAACAGAGTCGATTTTTCGAACAGGGTTTATATTTGTACTGTTTAATAACGATGTTTATACGGGATGTAAAAAATAGAATTTTTTGGTTGAAAATTATCATATAAAAATGTATAAAAAACGCATTCATCCAATAAATATCCTTTAAATGTTCGAAACGGAGTCGATTTTTCGAACAAAAAATCGAATAATTTCAGAATTTTCCAAACGATTTTTTTTATAGGGACTAATCTGATCATATTATTTAAGGGACATGAATGGTCATAAGTTCAAGTGATAAACTCAAAGACAATTTAGCATAACTCTGGAATGTTGATCAAGGCTTTAAAAAAAAATGGGGTTGGGCCATCCCTAAATAATACTCTAATAACAATATATAGTCATACCACCCTTTTTTCCAAAGCGTTTTTGAAGATATAACTAGGGTGGAGATATAACTCAATATAAAAAAAGGAAATTTATTCTGCTAAAAAATGGGATATAACTCAGGTATGACTATTGTCACGGAGTTTCTTAACACCATTGCATATTCGTGGGTCTTTACTATTAAACTTCACCAACTCGCTTGGCTAATATACGATGACTGGAGTATCGTACAGGTACTCCACCGATTATGTATTCATACAGATACAACAGTTTATTCACTAAGAATTATTCCCAGAACTCAAAGTTTAAAACTAATAAAACTCAAAGCTAGGCACTTCCCCTATTTGGGTCGATGCCTTATATATTATTACTATCGCTAATGATTACTGCATTGTTCATGCAATCACCATTATTACTAATCGCTAATTATTACTACATTGTTCATGCAATCACTACTTAAGACTTTTAATTAATTCATGATCACGCCATTCATGCAAATGCAAATCCCGATCCGATCACGATATTCGATCAACATGTACCTGATCACTAATCACATGGGTACTGTTATCTATCCCTGGCGCTATGATTACATGGGGTATGAGTATGTTGAATAGCTCAGTTACACACATGGGTTCATATTTAAATTCATGCCTTTGGCATGGAATATGAACCCATGTATAATTGAACATACCCATACAATAACTATAAATTATTCGCCACCTCATATGATTGGACATGGATGCACCTCCAGTGTCAATTACTTACTGTTGTGCCTCAAATGAACTACCCCAAGATCGGCACCCAAAAATTCATCTGCACATGATTTAAAACCAATTATATTTCAAGATCAGGTGTATTGTATTTTATTATTAAAACTCCTCAAACAAACTTTAAAAAATTTTTCACTGTATTACGCATTATCACATGCCAGTAAAAATTTGGCAGAGAAAATCATCCAGATGCAAATTTTCAGGTGACATGTGTAATCTGTCAATCAGTCATCTGAAGTCATAAGATGCAAAAATCTTTATAATCAAAGGTTTCAATGAACAATCCAATACATTATAACAAATAAGGGCCTTTTGGTTTTAACTTTGGTATCTCTTTCTTCATTATTTACATTAGCTATATTTTATTTTATTTCTTGGCTTTAAATTGCTTTGATGCTAGTTTAATTCTTAGTATCTACTGATTTCTCTAATCATATTTGATATTGGTTAGTTCTTTTTGTCTACAAATATATTCAATATTGGTTGGCTAGGTTCTTGGTGCTTATAATACAGTAATGTTTTTTTAGTTATGATGTCTACTAATATGTATATTCAATGTTAGCTTAGTTTTTGGTACCTACTAATCACATTTGAAGCCGATTTAATTCTTGATGCCTACTATTTTTGATGTGCCAATTTTGCTAGCTTTTGTCATCACCTTTTATTAGTTTTATACTATGCAGTTATATGTTATCACATAATAAGCAAAAAAAATATCAGCATATAGTATAAATCAATACATGATTCAAAAGTTTTAGACTGTGATATTGTGTCAATTTTCTCATCTGTTATAGTTTTTATTTAACTAACAATAATTTTATCAACAACTTTACTTACCAACAGACAAGTTCGTTTTATAAACATCATATTTATTCACTGCTCATTTCATTAACTATTTTTTATTATAAATTACTCTAATCTTAACACTAATTCTAAATCTACTCATAATAACAATGATATATAGATGAATTTGACTCCAATCAATTATATTACATAATATGATAATTGGATTTAGAAGTACATTAATATTGTAAATAAAATTGTACACAAATTTATAACATGAAAGATACTTTTTAATTATTCAGTATAAAATTAATTTATATAAGAAAAAAATATAATAAATTTATTAAAAATAGTATAGTAAATCTAATTTTAAAAAAATGTCAAGTCTCTAAGAAAATGAATATTATTATTTTTTAAATTGGTTCTATAATATTTTTACAAAGAATATTTCACTTTACACTAATACTTTTATAAATATTTTTTCAAAATAAATATTTCAAATTTTTGTTTATTAGCCTTCTATGTAATTCATATATTTGGCACAATATCTTAAAAATTTGAAAAGAGTTTTGCAAGTATGAGGATATTAAAAAGAAAAAATAAACAAAAAACAGAAAACCTAATATAAAATCTTATTAAAAAGTTAATATTTTTTGGTTTCAATACTTTTGCTTATTTTTATTTATTTCTACTTATTTCTACCCATTTTTATTTATTTCAACAAAAACCTATCTAGAAATCATAATTACAAGTAGATTTAAAAGAGATTATTGTTTATAATTGATTTAGAAATTATCTGATTATAAAATTAATTTTTAATATAGAACAAATTCACAATAATCACTAAATTTATATAGAATAAATTTATTTGATTTGTACAAATTTAAAGATTTTATTTGCAAATATTATAAATGATTATTAAATAGAGTCAAATTGGTCTATATATAGTATAGTGTTTATGGGATTAGCTTGTTTGCAAATTAATTATTAGTAAAATAAACTTTATTTACTAGTAAGCTTGAATTGTCTAAATAATTGTTAATAATAAATTGATTAGAACTGATTTATTATTTATTAATAATCTAAAATTTATATAAAATATATATATATATATATTAATATTAGGGTGTAGTGC